CCACTAGGTATGTGACTAGGATCTCATGTTGAATTGTACTACCACTCAAGGTAATATAGCTTTTTCTTGCCCAAGCTATCATGTGTCATGGACTACACCAAAGGCATTTTTACTGTCTGTGTAAATGTTAACTCTGTCCTTTTCCTAGCTGGAGGGCTTTTAGTTCAGCTACCTGGGCAGAGCGACATCCTTCAATCCTCTCTCCTGCCAAAAGTTTCACTTTCAAAATAATCTTGGCCCAACCCCGTCCGGGCCTCACCATCATAATATTTCCGCGCCACATCTAGAAACGTGCATTTCACATCTGGCCCCTTTAATGGCTCTTTCTTAACTCGACCCTGTCTCTCTTCTTACTGCTCCATGAGGGGGATTCAATCATGTATCTCTCCTTCCTGATTCATATAGCTTGCTGGGTTCTTTTTATTGTCTTTAACCACTTCTATGTGCTTATCCCCTGGCAACAGTGTGGCTCCCCATTTGGTTCACTGACTGTCCGTAACACCTCTCAATTTGCCAGCTTCCAATAGCTGAACTATGCTATGTGGGGAGTTTAATTTACAGTTGTGTCAAGGGGGAGGACATCAGTGCCCAGGTAGCACATTGGATGGCACAAACACAGGAGTGTTGTCCCATCATAACCGGGTCCGTTTTGCCTGAGTAGTATCCCACAGGCCGGAGCTTGTCTCTGTGTCTGTGTAGTACTACTGCAGACTGATTACCCTTGCTTTCACTGCAAAAGAAGTGAAAGGGCTTTTTCAGGTCAGGGAGTCCTAGTGCTGGTGCGGAAGTCAGTGTATGTTTGATTTTGATAAAGGCTGTCTCTTGCTCAGGTCCCCATTCAATTTTCTCTGAGGGAGCTCGCCCCTTTCATAAGGTCTTGCAGGGTTCCAACTAGTTCGCTGTAACTACAGAGTTCCTGCAATAGTTAAATTGTCATAAGATTTGTCATCCTTTAACAGTAACTGTTTTTTTAATTTCTGAAAATGCCACCTGATGGAGGCAATTAGAATATCGTCTACATTTTTTTCAGTTACTCTATTCACATAATTTGCTCTAAAATTCTGTATATTTGCAGATTTAAGTTTCTTAATTTGTGTTTTTTATCCTCCAGTTCCCTATTCACAGATCACTTCACCCAATAACAGTAAAATAACTTCATACATAGACTCAAAATTTCTCCACCTCTCTTCATCTGTATCCGTCTTGAGGATACTTCTTCGATATGTTTCCTTGATTGCCGATTTTATGAATGATTGTATTATTGAGTAATAACTACCTCCATACACAATTGCCCCTATGAGCCACAATATACATGGGATCAAACAATACAACTCTTAACGTTCATCAGGCTTCATCTTCAGCTTATGCTTCCTGCCTTTTATTTTCCCTGGGGTTTCCTTACCACAGACTCCTACACCCTCTGAGTCTTAGCTCAGCCTTCTTTCACATACACTAACTGTCCTAACACATGAAGATTTCACCTATTGATTTAAACACTGGAGCACATGCATCATACAAACACTCAAGATGGGGTATCTGCATGTCATCCGATGGGCCCTTTCACTCAGTCCAATACTACTTCTCTCAGAATCCATATTCTTTCATTTCTGTACCATTGTGACATATTAATGAATCACACTTTATATTTTGATTGTAATACTTCTTACATTCCTTTCACTAATACTTCTTTCATTGTTTTAAAATCAGTTTCTGTATGGATTATGTGTCAGTTTCTTATCATTTAAACTATGTTTTTGTGCTCTTCAAGTCCACACCAATCTTTTCATCAAGTAGGCGTACTTGTTTGAGACCCATTCTTCAATGCATGTTCTTCTTTTAATCGTGTATGCCCTCATATTTGTTACCTCCAAGGTAACATTCGCTTTTGCACGCTTACATCGGTGTTTCGAGACCATGTCTCACATTCTTGACTACCACATGATCTTATCAAATGATCTATGAGATTTTAGTTATCTCTGCACATATCGTTGATGCCTTAGGTAGTGGCTAGATCACCAATTAAAAAGAAAGACAAGGACACAAACCTCACCAAGAGAAAGCTATCAGTTTGATGTTCTCATCTAAACTTCCTTTTCACTAAACTGCATTTTACTGTCAATTGTTGTTTCAACCCATTATTCTAATTCTTTTGTTATCTGCCACCAGTGTCAACCCCTAATTGCTTTGTCTCATCTAATTTTGCAACTTAACTGTTACCACCATTTCTAATTCCAAAGATCTATAGAGATGTGTAGTTCATGGAACATAATCTTCTAATATTTTAAAACAGAAGTCTAACATTTCTGTTTGATTCAGGCACAACATACTTTGTACTTTCTCTAAGATGACCCACTTTTTTGATGTTACTTGATAACTCTTTCCAGATATTTGATGTATCTCTATGTATATTTGTCCAAATTCGTAGTCTGTTTACTCCCTTAAAGTTACAAACCATTTTTTTATGTATTAAAACTACTAAGACTGTGTGCATGCACTTTATCATTTCCCAGAATCCCTTTAAATTTTCAGGTAACTATTCCGTTTAAATGTTTCAGAATACCTGGGCATGTGAGTCTTAATATACTTTTTGTCATGATTTGCTTCGGTATACCGAGGCTCATTGGTTTCAAGATTCCTGACACTCAATACATTTGATGTTTCCACAATACTTCTCTAACACTGACATGTGTTATTGATTCATGGCTTGATGGGTTGAGGGTGCTTCATCCATCACTGTGTTGTGACATTGAAAGTCTGCAAACAGGGTCAGCATCCAGTACCTCCAATTTCTAAACAACAAACAACCTCCATCCATTCCATATCAAGCAGAATGGGTGAATTAGTATTACAGATTTAACAAGAAAGGTGAGGTTTAAACTCCTGCACATAATTATGTCATTAACAAAGGAAAAGCCCACCTCCTTTGCTAGATTCTCCCTTTATTAATTCCTCTATCAGTTTTCTCAGATTTTAGGACATACCACCAGAATTTTGTTCAAAGAGAATTGCATTTCCAAAATTCCAAATTTCTCTATTACCTGCATACTTTCACACCAAAATATGTTTGCAATGAACAATCCGGAATTAAAGATTCACTCATGTTAAAACAGTATTTAGAAGTTCAGTCTGGCCAGAAAATGAAATTCCAAATCTGGTAATTTCTGTGATTAAAATTTCCTCAGTCCAAACACAACACGGACCCAATTCCAAAAGGTAAATTTTTACCAAGCTTTGCGAACCAAATCTTTGAATCAACATTTTGTTGCAGATTTTTGCTTTACACAACTATTGATGATTTCTTAATTACATTAACCATACATGTTACACACTAATACAGGCACACAAAGGCATACACCAAACTTTCAAATCACCATTCAGTTCCAAAATGCAAACTAACTTCAAAGAATCCCCAGATCTCGAGCTTCAGGGAACAAACACACAAATTGTACAAGACGACATTTAGCAACCAGCAAACAAAGCTGCATTCAAATCAGACCACAAAGAGTTAACACTTTTACAAGGTTCAGTGCACTTGCACAGCGCAGAAACCTGGCCTCCAGTTTTTTCTTTATCCGGTTATAACCGTCCCTCATTCTTTCAGGTGTCCTAATTGTGCTAACATATCAATTATAGACCCAAATCCAAAGTCTGCTACATTCTACCCTGGAATACAGAAGCTTTCCCTTCTCTTAAACATTTTCCTGAATCCCATCATCATTGCTAAAAATATCTTGGATCACAGGGTATATTCAAGTGGTTATTTTCGGATTCAGTTAAATGTAATTAAGGAAAGACTCAACAACAGCAATTTACTTAAATATGAAAATTTATTGAATAATAATAAAAGACGATAAACAAAGGATTAGGTAAATAAAAAGAATGAAAAGTAAGGGAAAAAAAATAAGCCTCACACCCTTCTACCCATCGTGGACCCCTTGTTCGACAACTGGTCTGGAAGATTAGGTTGTTCCTGGCACCATTCGTGATCCTGGTCCAAGATGAAGTCCAATGACTTGAAATGAAACTCTCTGTTTTACACAGAGTAACAAACAGCAAGGTACAGAAAAGCCCTGAAGGGTCTAGGCCCGAAACGTCAGCCTTTCTGCTCCTATGATGTTGCTTGGCCTGCTGTGTTCATCCAGCCCTGCACCTTGTTGTCACAGAATGTGCCGTCTTCGGCACATAAAGGAATGTTCACAGGACTCATTTAAGGTCATGCAGCTGTCAAACATCATCAACAATTTTAGCCCTTCAGCTCATCCTACACAATTATTTTATGGATGGTCTATAATCAGCAATGTTTTACACATCTCTGGAACAGGTGGTACTTGAATCTAGGCCTCCCTGCTCCAGAGGTAGATTCATGAACACTGCACCACAAGAGCTCCTCCAGATCACAAGAATTGGATGGATTTTTATGACAATTTATTGGATGAGTTTATTGACAACAGTTTTTCAATCTGTTTGAATGTATTAATTAATTGAATTGAAATTCCTCTATGGTGAAATTTGAAACCATGACTCACCAGACATGAATCATTAGTCCAGTGAAATCACCACTACACCATTATTTCCCTTTCATAAAATGATAGTTCTCTCTTCCCACTCCAATTTTCTTTCCCCATCCTGTTGGTAAAGAATCTTTTGATATGACAGATGACCAAATGAGTATTCATATGCAAGGCTAAAAATGAAAAATCATCAGTATGATATCATGACAGCGGCTGACTCTGTCCCCAGTCAGTATCCTCATATGCAGTTTCCTGCATAGTGATAGAGAGTGGAGAATCCACACTCATCTTTTTTGTTCCTAGCCCAGGAACATTTAAAGTCTAAAGATCCTGCTGATAAAATAGATTTATTTTCAGTTAGAAGACTAGCACGGGGGAATTTCAAGTTTCATTTACTGATTATTGTACACTATTTCATAATTAATAGAAAGTGAAGCATAGACTTGATTTTTCATTGTATAATAATTTCTACATTTGTTCATTTCCTAGAGCCCTACAGAAAATCGAGGAACATTTGGTATCCATATCCGTGTTCTAGGAGATTGGACAGGTAAGTCCAAAATTTTATAATTGAATCTAAATATGGAGATGCAGTGTGTCTCCTTTTTCTGATAACCCTCCCCAAGCAGCTTTCTTGTCCAAGTCTACCCTTGTATTCTGAGTTCTTGCCCCATTTTCTTTCATTCTTTTGTGGGATTCATGTGCTGCTGGCAAGGCCAGCATTTGTTGCCCATCCCTAATTGTTATTTAAACTGAATAGTTTGTGAAGCCATTTCAGAGGGCCGTAAAGAACCAAGCGCATTACTGTAGCTCTAGGATGATATGTAGGCCAGGCAACGGTGGTACATTTCCTTCCCTAATTGACATTATTGAACCAGATTTTTTTTAAAATGATAATCAACGATTGTTTCATGGCACCATTACTGAGAGTAGCTTCATGTTCCAGATTTATTAATTGAACTCAAATTCCAACAGCTGACATGGTTCAATCCATGCCCCCATGGTATTAGTGTGTCCCTCAGAATTACTAGTCCAGTGACATCGCCAATTCATCATGAGTGGATAATCAACAGTGGGAGATTCATTGATAGTGAAACCATCATTGTTAGATGCTTTTTTTATTGGAGAGTGCTTAGCATTTGCACAGCATGAATCTCACTTGTCAGACTAAAGGTTGTCTAGGTCTTCCTGCATGTAGACTTTGAACTGCTTCCTTGTCTGAGGAGCTGTGAATGTAAATGATTGTTATACAATCATCAGAGGACATGCCCACCTGTGACTTTGATGAAGCAGCTGAAGGTCATGGCTCGGGACACTACCCACAGGAGACCCTGCAGCATGGGCCTGGGACTAAGATCATTGACCTTCAACAGCTGTAACCATCTTCATTTGTAGTAGCTATGACACCAGCTGATGGAGACCTTGTTTTTGTGACTGGAAGTTTGTGTCCAATGGTGTAGCATAGGGTTTGGTCCTATCCCTTACTATTTGTTGTGTCCATTAAGGACTTGGAGGCAAAGATAAGAGGTTTTATCAGTATATTTGCAGATGATGCAAAATTTGGGATATGATAAATAGCAAGAAGGAAAGCTTCAGATTTTAGATATAAACAAATAAATGGGAAGAACAGTGGCAAATGGAGTTTATTCCTGAAGGATGTGAAATGATGCATTTTTGGAGGACTGGCAAGGCAAGGGAATGCGTGATGAATGGAAAGACCCTGGGTAAGCATTAAGCACAGTAGGACTTTGGTCTCGGCATGCAAACATAGATTCTTGAAGGCAACAGGACAGGTTGATAGAGTGATTAAAAAGGCATACAAAATACCTTCCTATGTTAGTTGAAGCTTTGAATATAAGAGCTGGAATTTTCTGGTGTTAAGTAGGATGTTAGTTAGGCCACAGCTGGAGTACTGTGTGCACATCAGGTCCTCATGCTAATTGCACTGGAAAGGGTGCAGAGGAGATTCAGCAGAAAGTTGTTTGGCTGGAGCGTTTCTGTTATGAAGAGATACTAGATAGGTTAGAGTTGTTTTCCTTGGTGAAAAGAAGGCTAAGGGGATTCTGAGAGATATATAAAATTATAAGGGGCATAATTAAGGAATATAGGAATAAACCTTTCACCTTTAGTGGAGGGGTCAGTTATCAGGGACGGAGGCAGAAACGTAGAAGATAGAAGCAGGAGGAGGCCATTTGACCCTTTGAGCCTCTTCTGCCATTCTTCACTATCATGACTGATTGTCCAACTCCATAGCCTAATCCTGCTTTTTCCCCATAATCTTTGATCCCATTCGCCCCAGTGCTATATCTAGTCACCTCTTGAATACATTCAATATTTTGGCATCAACTACTTCCTGTGGTTATGAATTCCACAGGCTCACCACTCTTTGAGTGAAGAAATGTCTCCTCATCTCCATCCTAAATTGTCTACCCCAAATCCTCATACTGTGACCCCTGGTTGTAGATACACCCACCATCGGGAACATCCTCCCTGCATCTACCCTGTATAGTCCATTTGAATTTTATATGTTTCTATGAGATCCTCCCTCATTCGTCTGAACTCTGGTGAAAACAATCCCAACCTAGTCAACCTCTCCTCATATGTCAGACCTGCTATCCCTGGAATCAGCCTGGTAAACCTTCGCTGCACTCCTTTGAGAGCAAGAGCATCCTTTCTCAGAAAAGGAGACCAAAACTGCACACAGTGTTCCAGATGTGGTCTCACCAAGGCCCAGTACAAGTGCAACAACCTATCCATCTCAATACACCTCTCCCGGTCCCATGTGTTTTAACCTTGTACATTAATCTCTTAAGCGGGACTTTGTCAAACGCTTTCTGAAAGTCCAAATATATTACATCGACTGGTTCCCCCTTGTCAATTTCTCCTTCATAAATCCATGCTGACTCTGTCTGATCCTACCACTGCTTTCTAAATGTTCTGCTATAAAATCCTTGACAATAGATTCAAGAATCTTCCCCACTACCGATGTTAGGCTCACTGGTCTATAATTCCATGTTTCTCTCTACTGATCGGCTCAGAAACCAAGGACAAGATTCAAACAGAGCTATTGAGAAAAATAAGGAGGAGATAAACACTGTTAAAAGGACAAGCTTAAAGGCTTTGTGCCTTAATGCATGGAGCATCTTCAATAAAGTGAATGAACAAATTGCTCAGAAAAATGTAAACATGTAAGATATAATTGGGATTACGGAGACATGGCTGCAGGGTGAACAAGGATGGGAACTGAATGTCTCAGGGTATTCCGTATTTAGGAAGACAGGCATAAAAGGAAAAGGTGGCAAAGCGGCATTTGCTCGTTAAAGAGCAAATTAACACTTCAGTGAGAAAGCATATGAGCTCTGACAATGTGGAGTCTGTATGGGTAGAGTTGAGAAATACCAAGGGGCAAAAAACATTAGTAGGTGTCATATATAGACCCCCAAACTGCAGCGGTGATGTCAAGAATGGCATTAAACAGGAAATTAGAGATGCAGGTGATAAGGGAAAAGCAATGATCATGAGTGATTTTAATCTGCACATAGGTTGGGCAAATCAAATTAGCCACAATGCCATAGAGGAGGAATTCTTGGAGCATATATGAGATGGTTTTCTTGACCAATATGTGGAGGAACCATCTAGAGAGCAGGTCTTCTTAGACTGGGTGCTGTGTAATGAGAAAGGAACCATTGCCAATCTAACTGTGTGAGACACCTTGGGGAAGAGCGACCATAACATGATAGATTTTTTATCAAGCTGGACAATGAAGTTGTTGATTTGGAGGCTAGGGTGCTGAATTTTAATAAAGGAAACTACAAGGATATGAGGCGTGAGTTGGCCTTGATAGATTGGGAAGAGTTACTTAAAGGGATGATGACAGTGGATAGGCAAAAGCAAACATTCAAGGAACAAATGGGGAAACTGCAACAACAGTTTACTCCTGTCTGTCGCAAAAGCAAAATGAGTAGGAGGGCCAATCCATGGCTTACAAAGGAAGTAAGAGATAATATCCTAAAGAAGGAAGAAGCATACAGATTAGCCAATAAAAATAATAAATTTGAAGATTGGGAGCAGTTTAGAATTTAGCAAAGAAGGACCAAAGGATTGATTAGGAAGGGGAAAACAGAGTACCAAAGTAAGCTTGCAGGGAACGTAAAGACTGACGCTAAGAGTTTCTATAGGTACGTGAAGAGAAAGAGATTGGTAAAGACAAATGTAGGTCCCCTACAGACAAAAATGGGGAAATGTATAATAGAGGACAAAGAAATGGCTGAGGAACTTTGGTTCTATCTTCACAAAAGAGGACACAAATCAGATACCAGAATTGTTAGAGGATGTAAGATTTAGTGACAGGGAAAAGCTGAGGGAGATCAATATTAGTAGAGAAATGGTGCTGGGAAAATTGTTGGGATTGAAGGCTGATAAATCTCCAGGGCCTTATAATCAACATCCCATAGTACTTAAGGAATTAGCTCTGGAAATAATGGATGCATTGGTGGTCATCTCCCAGGATTCTATAGACTTTAGAACAGTCCCTGCAGATTGGAGGGTGGCTAATGTCACTCCAAGATTCAAAAAAGATTTAGAGGGGATTTAAGGCAAATTTGTTCTACTTGCCTGATGGGTATCTGGAACTCATGGTCTGGAAGGGTGGAAGTATTTATATGAACACTTTGAAAAAGCATAATATACAAGGCTGTGGGCTAGGTGCTGCCAAAGGGAATTAGACTAGATCGGTGCTTGATGACTTGCATAGACACAATGGACTGAAGGATCTCTTTCAATACGGTAAGACTTTATGACTCCATGAAATATCTTTGCACATGCTGCAAGATTTTCTGGACTTCAGAGTCCTGCATGAAGCCCTTGACACTGAATTTTGAAGGCCCAAGCTAGGTCCTCCTAACTGAATACTGCTGTGATGCCTCGTCAAGTGGCTCTGACCTGTTGATGAGACAATATATACCCAGGTATTATGATGGAGGGATCTGGGATATTGACTGTATGGTGTGATTTAGTGTATATAACTATGTCAGGCTTAGTCCACTATAGGACTGCTCTTGCAGTTTTGGCAGACAAGCCCTAGAATGTGGTGAGAACTTTGCAGGGTTGCCTGTGTTGACTGTGCTGTTGCTCATCCACTACTGGATAAGCAGTGAAATAGCTCATCAACAATTGAGGAGGAGAGAAAGGTAGTAGTGAGATTGAGCTGGGTGTTGTCAACATACATTTGAAAACTGTTGCAGCATTGGAGTGAATAATGCAGATTTGGGTGGTAGAGATGGCAAGATCAAAAGGGGTAACCATGAATATAATTGGGAGTTTATATGTTGAGAGAAATTAAGGGGTCAGTGAATTCAGGAGAGAGAGCATGATTGTATAAGATGGAGTTTGAAGTCACTAAGGGTAAGAAGTCACTGGATGCAAACATTAAAGGAGAAGAGCAGTGAAAAAATCTTTGTGAGAAAATGTTTATCATGGAATAACTCCACAGAGGTCGGTATTCCGTCACCAAGTCACCCTTTGTTTACACTGATTCAGTTTCCTCAGAGCCAGCTCTCAGAGTGAGCAGAACCTCTGACATTTCTGTTTATATCTGTCAGTCATAGCTCACTGATTGGACCAAATTAACAGCTCCAATCAGGGAACTCAACAGAGAGGGGTTTAGGGAAGTTAGAGTTTTTCTCCTAATGAGCCACATTGAGTGACTGAGATATTGGAAGGATACCAAGAGAGACACAGAGTTAAAACTACAGACTTACCTGCCAGGGTATTCAAGCCTGTGATGGCAGCAAAACAGTAGGAAAATTGAAGAGTTCTGAGTGTTGGCACAGAGAATTCAGAGGATAAAGCACCTGAGAATAGTGAAAAGTGACATATCAATACATCACCAACAGTTTATGCCTGGCACTAATATTTCTTACTTTGAATAATTGTTCACATGATTTTAGTATCTCATTGTTCTTCCATTTACAAATTTTTATTTGATTCCCTTTGAAGAATCTTAACCACTTCTAAACCACTGTTTCAATTATCATATATGAATTTAACCAGTTTGCCTTGAGTTTCCATGTTTAAATCAGGAATGTAGGCTAGGAGTAGTCCTCCTGCTAATTGGTAGTAGAGAGATAGTAGGAACTGCAGATGCTGGAGAATCTGAGATAACAAGGTGTAGAGCTGGATGAACACAGCAGGCCAAGCAGCCATTTCTGAAGAAGGGTCTAGGCCCGAAACGTCAGCTTTCCTGCTCCTCTGATGCTGCTTGGCCTGCTGTGTTCATCCAGCTCTACACCTTGTTATCTCAATTGGTAGCAGAGTCCAGTCTTGCTCTACCATCATTAAACAAGCAATATTTGTTGTTTCTTTGCTTCAGAAGAAATTTTTGTGTGAATCAAATCTATATTTCCCATGATTTCCTATTATTTTCAGTTTTGGAAGAAGCTTTAAATGAAGAGTTTAATTAAAGATTTTCTAGAAATTTTAAGTGTTATTTTCCCATTGGGCACAGATATCGGGTGTTATGTTCGATCTGATCACGAATCCAATTCTCACCAACACAAAACAGGATGCAGCTGCTATTTTGACTTAAGTCGACAATTTGCTAAAAGATGGGTCCACTATCCAATGAGCTTGCATTTGCATCAGTTAGTCAAAAGCAGGCCACACCGTGATTTGTTTCTGCAGCCATTGCATATTAATGTTTTAGGTCAAGAGTTCATGAAATTTAAATTTTCTGTAGTTCAGAGGGCAGTGGAAGGCTTGAATCCTGGGACAGGGTAGGCTGATGATAGGTTCTTTAAAATCAGTCATTTATTTTGTGATTGTCCAACATTCCTCTGCTGTGCTCAACCTCTTCAATGCCACTTCAACAACCCTCATGTAAAGATAATGCTGACCCTGTTCTGCCTTTATTGAGCTGCTCTGATTCCTGACAACAGCTAAAGTCCAGCCATCTCACTTAAAAAAAAATTAAAAAGCGTTAACTGAGAATTTCCTCTTACTGAGTACCTCTTTGATAAGAACAGGCCTATTCTGAAGCACTCACACTTTGCCACCAGGTAGAAACACAGGTAGAGAGTGTTCTTGTGTATGCTGGTATTGTCTCTGCCTTTGCGTCAGGAGGCCCAGGCCCAAGTTCCACCCACTCCAAAGGTTTGCAATAACATCTCTGAACAGGTTGATTGAAAAATATCGAGAAACAGAAACAGCGTGCCAGGCCACTTGTAGTTTGATGTGGCCTTGTCAAAACAGTCCTTCACATTTACTTTGAATATTTTCATTTGCAATGCCCACTTAATTTTTTTTTCAAAAGGGTTGTTTTTAAATTTTTGGTGACACTAGAGCTCCATTCTCCTGATCAATGGATATCCCATGCATAGGAAGGATGGGCTCACTCCTGAGCCCATGGGCCCACTCCTGAGCTGGTCAAAGTAGCCATCAACAAGTCCAACAAATGGGCAATGAAAGGGATCGTAACACCTGACTGCCTGTGCCCCTTTGGTGGTTATGGCCTTGCTTGAGTGTCCATGGAAAGGGAGCATGAGGAGTCCACTAGAACAGTAGAGACCTTCAGGGACTTTGGGTCTGGGGTACATCATCATGCCTGACAATGGTACTGTATTTTAATTTAATTGGTAAATTTCCATTGACTCTTGACTTTCTGTTACAGTGTCCCCCCAGAGGCTGTTCAAAACCATCGTTGTTCATTTAAAAAGATTATAAACTGAAGTGGGCTTTCAGCTATCATCCTTGCGAACCATTTTTTTTCAACCATTCCACCTCTGTACCTGTCTAATCAGGACATGAAAATATAGCCCAAATTTATGGCACTATCTCTATCAGTATTGTAAAATATGAAGTTGGTTAGTCTTTGTGGAGCACAATGTTCTTTGATGGCCAGATTATATAGGAAGTTTTCTCTGCTAGTTTATCACACGTCTTGAACTTCAGCTCTTACTATCTTCACTCCGCACATCATGTTGCCTATTTCATACCAAATGTGCTGTAATGAACACTCACATATATTGAAAGATAAATTCTAGATTTTTTTTGCCTTTTTCCCAAGAACTGGCTATATATCATCAGTATTTTTTACTTAAATTCACTCAGAGAAATGGGATATCATGCTATGTTTTGCAGAGACCTATATGCTGATGTCATCGTTGATGTGCATTGAATTTTAATACACAGGTTCATGACTGAAAAGTAAATATATACTAAGGTATAACAGAGCATTTCTGTAACCTTTTTCTTAATCTTTGTAATCTCTTGCAGAAAGATTTAGGGAACTGCTGCTACTTGAACCAAATTTGGATGCAGAAATCCTGCCCATACTACAGCAGAGAAATTACCCAAAGTAAGTCAAGTGGATCATGCTGTCCTTCACAATAATGAATGTTATCTAAATTGTAATCATTGTTAATATGATACTTATACCTCCTTAATATTAGTTGATATCTTACAGTCCCTGAATTAATATCAAAGACAGTAGTCATGCAAGAAGGTTAGAGAGTGTAGTATGATTTGACCAAGGCAGAGGGATGGGATAAGGGAAGAAGGAGAGAAGACAGTGAGAGAGAGAATTCAGTGACCACAGCCCTATGCCCAGGTCATCAGCCAATGAGGGGTGTTGAAAAAGCAAGTGGAATTCAGATTATATTGATAAGTAACTAACTGAGTAGTATAATTTCCTAAAAGTTGTACAAATGACAAACTAATGTCTTTAAGGCCTACTTTAAAATAGTTATTTCCAAAATGACACGTATATCTGACTTCGGTACTAATTCCAATCCTAGAACTGACTATATGTAAAAGAACTGGCATAATCGATCAAAACTCCATTTTTGGACTAACTGAGGTAATATATTTGGGCGGTTGCTTTACCCGAAACACTACCTAGGTAGTGTCTCCCACCCATCCTCCTCCTCTAACCAAAAAAAAAGGTTCTGAGCGCTGACTTGGTAAGGCTACTAGTATTTTTTTTTTTTTTTTAATTTGTCTGTTTGGGAATTCAGAACAGTGGGAATGGATGTTAGGGCAGTTGTATGCTCCTCCTGTAGAATGTGGGAGGTAAGGGTCACCACTAGTGTCCCCACTGACTTCATCTGCGGGAAGTGCACCCAACTCCAGTTCCTCGGAAACCGTGTTAGGGAACTGGAGCTGGATCTGGATGAACTTCGGATCATTCGGGAGGCTGAGGGGGTAATTGAGAGGAGTTACGGGGAGGTAGTCACACCTCAGGTACAGGAAAAAAGTAGATGGGTTACAGTCAGGGGACGGAAAGGGAACAGGCAGACAGTGCAGGGATCCCCTGTGGCCATTCCCCTCAAAAACAAGTGTACCGTTTTGGATACTGTTGGGGGGGGATGACTTACCAGGGGTAAGTCATGGGGTACAGGTCTCTGGCCCAGAATCAGTCCCTGTTGCTCAGAAGGGAAGTGGGGAGAGGAGGAGAGCATTAGTCACTGGGGACTCCATAGTTAGGGGGACAGATAGGAGATTCTGTGGGAACGAGAGAGACTCGCGGTTGGTGTGTTGCCTCCCAGGTGCCAGGGTCCGTGATGTCTCGGATCGTGTTTTCGGGATCCTTAAGGGGGAGGGGGAGCAGCCCCAAGTCGTGGTCCACATAGGCACCAACGACATAGGTAGGAAAAGGGATGGGGACGTAAGGCAGAAATTCAAGGAGCTAGGGTGGAAGCTTAGAGCTAGAACAAACAGAGTTGTTATCTCTGGTTTGTTACCCATGCCACGTGCTAGCGAGGCGAGGAATAGGGAGAGAGAGCAGTTGAACACGTGGCTACAGGGATGGTGCAGGAGGGAGGGATTCAGATACCTGGATAATTGGGGCTCATTCTGGGGTAGGTGGGACCTCTACAAACGGGATGGTCTACACCTGAACCAGAGGGGTACCAATATCCTGGGGGGGAAATTTGCTAATGCTCTTCGGGAGGGTTTCAACTAATTCAACAGGGGGATGGGAACCTGAATTGTAGCTCCAGTGTACAGGAGGTTGAGAGTAGTGAGGTCATAAATAAGGTTTCAAGGTCGCAGGAGTGTACCGGCAGGCAGGAAGGTGGTTTGAAGTGTGTCTACTTCAATGCCAGGAGCATCCGGAATAAGGTGGGTGAACTTGCAGCATGGGTTGGTACCTGGGACTTCGATGTTGTGGCCATTTCGGAGACATGGATAGAGCAGGGACAGGAATGGTTGTTGCAGGTTCCAGGGTTTAGATGTTTCAGTAAGATCAGGGAAGGTGGTAAAACAGGGGGAGGTGTGGCATTGTTAGTCAAGGACAGTATTACAGTGGCAGAAAGGACATTTGATGACAACTCATCTACTGAGGTAGTATGGGCTGAGGTTAGAACCAGGAAAGGAGAGGTCACCCTGTTGGGAGTTTTCTATAGGCCTCCGAAAAGTTCCAGAGATGTAGACGAAAAGATTGCAAAGATGATTCTGGATCGGAGCAAAAGTAACAGGGTAGTTGTTATGGAGGACTTTAACTTTCCAAATATTGACTGGAAACGCTATAGTTCGAGTACTTCAGATGGGTCAGTTTTTGTCCAATGTGTGCAGGAGGGTTTCCTGACACAGTATGTAGATAGGCCAACAAGAGGCGAGGCCACATTGGATTTGGTACTGGGTAATGAACCAGGCCAGGTGTTAGATTTGGAGGTAGGTGAGCACTTTGGTGATAGTGACCACAATTCGGTTATGTTTACTTTAGCGATGGAAAGGGCTCGGTATATACCGCAGGGCAAGAGTTATAGCTGGGGGAAAGGCAACTATGAGGCGATGAGGCAAGATTTAGGATGCATAGGATGGAGAAGGAAACTGCAGGGGCTGGGCACAATTGAAATGTGGAGCTTGTTCAAGGAACAGCTACTGCGTGTCCTTGAGAAGTATGTACCTGTCAGGCAGGGAGGAAGTGGTCGAGCGAGGGAACCATGGTTTACTAAAGAAGTTGAATCTCTTGTCAAGAGGAAGAAGGAGGCTTATGTAGAGATGAGGCGTGAAGGCTCAGTTAGGGCGCTTGAGAGTTACAAGTTAGCCAGGAAGGACCTAAAGAGAGAGCTAAGAAGAGCCAGGAGGGGACATGAGAAGTCTTTAGCAGGTAGGATCAAGGAAAACCCTAAAGCTTTCTATAGGTATGTCAGGAATAAAAGAATGACTCGAGTCAGATTAGGGCCAGTCAAGGACAGTAGTGGGAAGTTGTGTGTGGAGTCCGAAGAGATGGGAGAGATGCTAAATGAATATTTTTCGTCAGTATTCACACAGGAAAAAGACAATGTAGTCGAGGAGAATACTGAGATACAGTCTATTAGACTAGACGGGATTGAGGTTCATAAGGAGGAGGTGTTAGCAATTCTGGAAGGTGTGAAAATAGATAAGTCCCCTGGGCCGGATGGGATTTATCCTAGGATTCTCTGGGAAGCTAGAGAGGAGATTGCAGAGCCTTTGGCTTTGATCTTTATGTCATCATTGTCTTCAGGAATAGTGCCAGAAGACTGGAGACTAGCAAACGTTGTCCCCTTGTTCAAGAAGGGGAGTAGAGACAACCCTGGTAATTATAGACCAGTGAGCCTTGCTTCGGTTGTGGGTAAAGTGTTGGAAAGGATTATAAGAGATAGGATTTATAATCATCTAGAAAGGAATAATTTGATTAGGGATAGTCAACACGGTTTTGTGAAGGGTAGGTCGTGCCTCACAAACCTTATTGAGTTCTTTGAGAAGGTGACCAAACAGGTGGATGAGGGTAAAGCGGTTGATGTGGTGTATTTGGATTTCAGTAAAGCGTTTGATAAGGTTCCCCATGGTAGGCTATTGCAGAAAATACGGAGGCATGGGATTGAGGGTGATTTAGCGGTTTGGATCAGAAATTGGCTAGCTGTAAGAAGACAGAGGGTGGTGGTTGATGGGAAATGTTCATCCCGGAGTTCAGTTACTAGTGGTGTACCTCAAGGGTCTGTTTTGGGACCACTGCTGTTTGTCATTTTTATAAATGACCTGGATGAGGGCGTAGAAGGATGGGTTAGTAAATTTGCGGATGACACCAAAGTTGGTGGAGTTGTGGATAGTGCGGAAGGATGTTGCAGGTTACAGAGGGACATAGATAAGCTGCAGAGCTGGGCTGAGAGGTGGCAAATGGAGTTTAATGCGGAAAAGTGTGAGGTGATTCACTTTGGAAGGAGTAACAGGAATACAGAGTACTGGGCTAATGGTAAGATTCTTGGTAGTGTGGATGAGCAGAAAGATCTCGGTGTCCATGTGCATAGATCACTGAAAGTTGCCACCCAGGTTGATAGCGTTGTTAAGAAGGCGTACAGTATGTTAGGTTTTATTGGTAGAGGGATTGAGTTTCGGAGCCATGAGGTCATGTTGCAGCTGTACAAAACTCTGGTGCAGCCGCACTTGGAGTATTGCGTACAGTTCTGGTCACCGCATTATAGGAAGGATGTGGAAGCATTGGAAAGGGTGCAGAGGAGATTTACCAGGAAGTTGCCTGGTATGGAGGGAAGGTCTTATGAGGAAAGGCTGAGGGTCTTGAGGCTGTTTTCGTTAGAGAGAAGAAGGTTAAGAGGTGACTTGATAGAGACATACAAGATGATCAGAGGATTAGATAGGGTGGACAGTGGGAGCCTTTTTCCTCGGATGGTGATGGCTAGCACGAGGGGACATAGCTTTAAATTGAGGGGTGATAGATATAGGACAGATGTCAGAGGTAGGTTCTTTACTCAGAGAGTAGTAAGGGCGTGGAATGCCCTGCCTGCAAAATTAGTAGACTCGCCCACTTTAAGGGCATTTAAATGGTCATTGGATAAACATATGGATGATAGTGGAATAGTTTAGGTTAGATGGGCTTCAGATTGGTTTCACAGGTCGGCGCAGCATCGAGGGCCGAAGGGCCTGTACTGCGCTGTAATGTTCTATGTTCTAAAACCGAAAGAACTGCAGATGCAGTTCTGTTCTGAGGAAGGGTCACCGGACCCGAAATGTTAACTCTGATTTTTTCTTCACAGATGCTGCCAGACCTGCTGAGCTTCTCCAGCAACTTCTGTTTTTGTTGGCATAATTGATCATCTGTTTTTGAACTGAATCAACTGGGCAGATTTTCCAATCATGTCCAAATCCATTCTAGTAAACATTTGGCTCTGCGTGCCATTTATAAACCAAAACTTCATGATACACTACTCAGGCGAGCTTTACAAAATTTCCATTTGGAGAAGCCATGCAGCTTTAATTGTTCGTTCTTAAGACTGTCAGCCTAATTATCAGCAATGCATAATGAATCATGTCAGAATGCTGTTTTATTTCCCATATTGCATTCCTCCACTGTCTTTCTACATGTGGTTACTTGAC